GAAGGGTATACGCCAGGGAAGCTTTTTTATTTCTTTAACCAAACATTGCAGGGTTTTTTTAGTCTGACGTAAAGATTATAAATCATTGGGTTTTATTCAGTCATTCAAAAACATTTTACTTTATGACATTTTAATTATTATTTCATCTGATCATTGATAAAAATTTTTATGATAGTACAGTGTTGATGTTATGTACTGTTGAGTTAGAACCAACCCCAAACTGGCCCTCCAGTGGGTTTTCAGGAGTAGTAAATTTCACAGGAGGAGATTGGCCAACTTTCTGCAGTGGGGCAGCTGGTTGATTCAAACGGAGTGCCTTTGGGTTGGTGGCACACTTCCTTACCACTCAGTCACCAGATAGATTAATGCAATTGATTACAGTATCTGATCAATATACTGTATGTTGCCTTCCCTTTCACTCACTTTCTACTTACTAATTTTTATTCCTTTCTCTGTCCCTTCCCAGTTGTTGTTGCCATTCGTGAATGATTGTATGTATATACCTTGTCTTGTTGTTAAGTGCCATTGAGTTGACTGTGATTCAGCAACCCTTTGCACAAAAAACCCTTGCCTTATCCTATGCCATCCTCAGAATCTCTCATACTCAAGCCCATTATTGCAGTCATTGCGTCACTGCATCTAATGGAGAATCTTCCTCTCTTTTATTGACTGTGTACCTTTGTATGATGTATTTTTCCAAGCACTGATCCCTACTAACAACATGCCCAAAGTATATGAGATGAAATGTCACCATTTGTGCCTCCAAGGAGCACTCTGGTTGAACTTTCTCTGAGACAAATTTGTTTCTTTTCCCAGTCCATAGTATGTTCAGTACTCTTTATTGACACCACAGTTCAAAGGTATCACTTCTTCAGTCTTCCTAGTCATGTCACTTTCTGATGCGTATGAAGTATCTTTCCTTTCATTTGAAAGAATTATCTTTCCTTTCATTTGAAAGAATTAATTCCTAATAGATTAATATTTAGGAATTTTCCTCTTTCTCATTAATTCTGCGTTCCATTTCTGTACTTAAGCTCTTTTGTCCTTCTAATGTGTCACCTAGTCCTGAAATTTTTGTCTTAATATTAAAAATTTCTTATTTGCTGGGGTTTTTTGTTTCTGTTTCTTTTATATTGGTTTACTTACAAAGTTTGTATACATTGTTTTTCACATCAGATCTTTCCCAATTTCTCACTCCTCCCTCAACCCATCAAATTCTTCAACCCTATAATTACCCCCTGCCCATCCTTTCCCCTTTGTTCCTACACTTGGATTATCATACCCATTTTATTAGTTATCTTTCTATTTCTAGAATAATGGTCTTATACAGTATTTGTCCTTATGGGACTGAATTAATTCACTTAGCATAAGGCTCTCCAGTCCCTCTCAGGTTATGTAGTGATTTTAAAAATCATTGCTCCTGCATGCTGCAAAGTATTCTGTCATATAAATGAGAACTGCCAGAAGTCCAGGCTGGGTTTAGAAGGGGTCGTGGTACTAGGGATATTGTTGCTGATGTTAGATGGATCTTAGTTGAAAG